GCAAACAAATTAAAAAATTCCTCATTTTAACGCCATTCAACTCAAAATTGTATACATACTTACATTTTAACCTATAGGACCACATTGTGTGTCCCCTAGTTAGCCTATAATTATTTCTGTAATTATTTCCTCCGATGGGGTACACTAGGACCGGGTAATATAACACGTGGTCCAATTTGAATATTATATGTCAGTATTAAGGGGAGATATAGGACCATATTGTGATACAGAGTATTGACTTCGAGTTTCCTCATTTTATCGCTATTCAACACACTATTATATATATACTTACATTGTAACCTATAGGACAACATTGTGTTCCCCCTAATTAGCCCATGATTATTTCCTTTGGTGGGACCTATATCCTATAGGACCAAATTGTGTGCCTCCTAATAATCCTATAATTATTTCCTCTGGAGGGTACACTAGTTCAAGGTATTATAATACGTGATTCAAATGGAATATTATAGGCAAATATTAGAGGGAGATATAGGACCATATTTTTATACGGAGCATTGACATCGAATTTCCTCATTTTAACGCTATTCAACACACTATATTCATTGTAACCTACAGGACCAAATTCTGTACTCCGCAATAAACCTATAATTATTTCCTCTGGTGGGGTACACTAGTAACCGGTTATATAATACGTGGTTCAATTTGAATATTATAGGTCAAAATTAGAAGGAGATATAGGACCATATTTTTATACAGAATATTGGCTTCGAATTTCCTCATTTTAACGCTATTCAACACACTATATTCATTGTAACCTACAGGACCAAATTCTGTACCCCGCAATAAACCTATAATTATTTCCTCTGGTGGGGTACACTAGTAACCGGTTATATAATACGTGGTTCAATTTGAATATTATAGGTCAAAATTAGAAGGAGATATAGGACCATATTTTTATACAGAATATTGGCTTCGAATTTCCTCATTTTAACGCTATTTAACACATTATTATATATATATTCTAGTTGGCTCCGCCCCCTGCTCGCTACCGCTCGCCAACCCCCGATAATTGCAACGCAATTGCATTTTTGTTCGCCTCGCGAACAAAATTAAAGTTGTTTTCCTGGAGATTAGCTGGCAATTTTTCTGCACCAACATCACATGGAGAGAATATGTTACGATTGTAAAATGTCAGAGGTCCTTATTATCAACAATATAAACTTATATAAAGCAATTTTAATACAAACAATATTTTACACTTATATGAAACGAGGAAGCAATATTATTTAACAAATTACTATAGGGCATTAGCCGGAGATTCATCTAAATATTCGAAGTACACGTGGCAGAGGCTAACTCGGGTTGACCATATTTGAGGATGCTCTTTGACTCTCGCCAAGTTGTAATCGGGGTTGATCACCAAGCTGGGCGATGTTGAAACCCAATCGTGATTCTGATTGGTTTAGATTTTAGCGTTATTTTTACATGCTCAACGGTACATGTGATTTCAGAGGTCCGATAGTTCTAAGTTGGATGCAGGCTGGTAAGGTTACTTTTTCTTCTGGTCAATAAGATCGAAGGTATGTGGGCAGTCATAAAAAGGGACTTTAGGAAAAAATGTCATTGCCAGTCCGGTACCACGGACGCAACTTTCGATTCGTATTTCGCCGAATTTATGTGGCGATGGAGGTACACAGATTCTATTCATAATAAACTTAGACAGTATCTAACTGCTATTGGAGAATTCGGTGCACCTAAATCTGAGGATATTTAAGCTTAACGAAGAAGTGAGTTGTTTTTTTCCTTTTCTTTCTGTGCTTACTCCATTATTTTTTGTTTCGATTCAAAATGCATTTTATTGGGTTTATTAAATTTGCTCATATCGGGTTCATAGCAATTTTATAAAGTTTTGGCCGATGTTTTGTTGAAATTTTCCAATGTTTTATTGAAATTTCATTATATTTTGGCAGGCCAATTTCGCCAAGGGCACCTTCAAGTCTATTTTTACCCCTAAGTGAAATCATTGTTGATCCTTTAGCATGCGGGAAGCTCCCTATCTGGTGCTTCATCTCTCCCCCCCCCCCAGTAATTTAAATTTTAAACTGAAAATAATTAAAACCTAATGAAAAAAAACTTTAAAATATGGCAAACAAATTAAACATGTAATATTAATAAGTTGATGCCGAGTAATATTTCAAAAGCAAAAACCATTGCAATTAATTGCCCAATTAACTTCAATATTGTCAACTGACAAAGTATTTTAGTTTCAATCAGACAAAAAGCAAATTATATAATAAAAACATATGTAACTGAAATTCGACAAATTAAATTAAGCAAATTTTTTTTGTCATATTGAATACTAATAAAAAAACAAATGTAAAATGAAATAATTATGTTATCAATGATCAATAAACATTTTTGTCTAAATTGTTATAAAAAATAAGGTGAAAACAATAAAATTCAAAATTATTTACAATGGATCTCTGAATATTCACAAAACCTATCTATGTACATTTTTCATTGATTTTTCTTTTCACATCATTTTGTATACCAATAATTTGCACTTTTATGCATTATTTAAGAAATATCTCAAACAAATATGAACTGTTAATTAATATTTCTGGCTGAACGATTTTTTGAAAGTAAGTAAAAAACAATTAAAAGTAAGGAAAAACGATGATAAAATTGAAAATTATTTACAAAACCTCCTTATATACAACATTTTTTATGAATTTGTTTTCCATATTATTCGTTTTCATTTAAACGTCTTGACTCTTCAACGTTTCTTCGCCGCGCATTTCGCTGTCGCTTAATGATAGCACTACGAATATTTTCCCGGTAATTTTGTGCTGCTAAATTATGTTCAGCCCTATGTCGATTTTGATATCGCCTAAGATATTCAAGGGGATCCAATTTTTATAAAAGGTATAAGTATTTTAAAGTAAACTCTGTTCAATTCGCGATCGCAATGAACTATAGGGGGCGTTGTTGTATGCGACGAATACCTGCGATTTCTATATGAACAGTCATTCAGTTACTCTAGAGTCATCTTTAATGTGGCGTGTAGCATTGCAACGTTCCTTCTTTATTGTGGCTAATTAAATTTAAAAAAGAAAAATGTTTGTTATTCTTTCTTATGCAAACGAAAACAAAATAGCATCTCTTTTATTTTCAGAGAAGGAGCATCCAAAACACATCGGAAAAATATTTGTAAGTAAACAGAAAAATAATATGTATTATTAGAGTCAAAACCTAATGCGCGAGAAATAGTTTTACTAAATTTAATGATATAACATGGAAGGCCTATTTAAACTTTACATTCCATAGTTTTAAGAATCATATTACTTCAAAAATTAAAATAAACGAAAAGTATACATAAGCCTCATAATTTTATGAAATTTAATTTTGTGAAAAAAGTTTTTTGACAACAATTCTTATCAAAAAATTTCAAGTTTCAATAAAAATCATTATTTGGAAACTAAAAATCGTAAAATAAGGAATGCTGACGAAACAAAAACAAATAAACAATTCTTTTTTATCGCCATTTTTTAGTGCTGCGAAAATTCGTCTTTGGGATTTGCCAAAAACGAAACAAGATGCAATTTTATTTTTTCTGGAGCGAAATATTTTACCGAAAAAACGAAAATGTACCAATTCCCACAACATGAAACTTTATCTTCGTAAACGTACGAATTGGAAATGTTGTTTCATTTGGAATCTTATTTATTAGAGTTCATATGGCGATATGATTGTTTTGAATCTATGCTAAACTCTATATCGGCTCATTTTCCCCCGAAATCCTATAGACTACTTTGATTTTAAATAAAGTATTTTATTTCATGATATGTCGCTAAAATTTTAAGTGTAGATTGGCGGCACTTAAAAACCGCCAAATCTGTAGCAACGGTGGCGTTAGTACGTAAGTACCGAATTTTTATTCCATACTTTTCTGAATCATATTGCTTCAAACATTAGAATATACAAGAAGTATACATAAACACATGATGTTATGCCATTTAACTTTTCCAAAAAAGTATTTTGACAACAATTTTTATCAAAAAATTATTAACTAAAAAACGTGAAATAAAGAATTCTTAGGATAAAAAACGATTTTAAAAATTCTTTATGTTGAAGTAAAAACTTTCATATTGTTTTTTCTTATTCTTATAGTTTTTAAATCAGACGTAAAAAACCATTCTGTAGAGAACTATCATCAAATAAGAAAAAAAAAATATTTACAAGTAAATTTTTAATTATAAAAATCATAACGCTCACCTGTTTTATAAATCCGCAGAATTCCAAATGAAATGTTCTTTGTTTGAAAATTTTATTTTCGAATGATATATGCACAGATTATCCCTTCATTACTTTTAGATAACAAACCACACATCAAAATTTTATAATTGTAAGATCTCGATATGAATTTGAATATGTAGCTTAAAAACAGAATAGATGAATTCTAGTTGAAATTATGCTTTCAAAACTAAAAAATACTTACCAAGAAAACGATAAAAATTTATTAATAATCAGCACAAATGAAATTATTTCAAGTAGTTTGGATGATTCCTTATTGTTGTTTTCCGAATTATATAGATTCAGAAATATATACTATCCTATAAAGAAGAAGAATATTCTATAACTATTACAGTTCTGTATGTTCTGAATTCATATTATTCATTGGAATGACGAAAGCAATCTTGACTTCACTTTAATTTGTAATGAATTGAAGTCAGAAAAAATTATTTTAGCGTAATACACACATCTATAACAGCAAGTGATCATGAAATTGGAAGTTATGTTGTTGGTATTAGAAAGGTAAAAATTATTGAGAAATTGTTCTTCAAATCCCAAGTAGCACAATTCACAAAAACGATATCGTAAAAACTTAGCTGTGAACATTGTATAATATCGTAGCGAAATATTGTACTATATAAAAATGGACCCCTTTTATAACGTATATTCAATATTGCAAAACATTATTGTTCGATATTGTAAAAACGTTGGGGAACGTCGATCGACATCTCTCTGCATTTACAAACGTTGTACTATGTCGACCGACATCGTCCACACGATATTCAAAATCAAATGCTGTGGAATGCCGACAATCGCCAAAATTACGTTATTTGAGAAAATAAAAATTAGTTTTTGAAAATATTCATGACTGTTTGCAACCTGGAAAAAGCTGATAACAAAACCGTTCTAGCTTGTTTAAAATTAAATTATTTGTTATTACCAAAACTTATAGAATTTTAAAGTCTGCAGCTTAGTTATTAATATTTAATAAGTTTGGGTAGGCAGGTATATTTTACTATTATTCTAGACAATAAGCTAGAAAGTAAATAGTTTTGTTTAAGATATTTCTTCTCTTTTTCAGGGTACAAGCAGCCATTTATACTGTGAAATAATTTTAAGTGATTTGTGCAATAATTTTTACAGCATCTATACTTTACTATGTAGATTAAAATTACAATATGTTTAATTTAAAACGATAAACTTTTTTGTTGTGACGTTTTAGTATTATATAACCTGTATTTTACTTAAATAGTATGTATGGAAAACAAAATTCCTTATCTTCACAGCATCAGGTTCGATTTTACGAAAACTGATTAAAAAGAATAAAAAAGCAATATTTACACTGATATTTTCATAATAAAATAACAGGAGTCACTTCCTCAGATTTCTGATTTAAAAAAGGGTAAGCATGGCAGAATAAGCTGCGATTTAATTTACTTATAGCCTTTGTCCATTAAAGTGTTGCCAAAATATCTATTAGGGCTTGAACAGATGTCAAATGTGTAAGTGAAATATAATATTTATTAAACAGTAAAGAATAATATACTAATTTCTATAATTTATTGTATTCTTTAATACAATAAATTGTTTCTAAAACAAAACTGTGTCAGTTGAGGCAAACTTAGTCTTCCTGCCTTCCCGGTCGTTGGCGGTGGCAAGAATTTCACCAAATTTTTCAGCTTTTTCTAGTCAGCTAATTTCTTTAAACAGTCTGAAGGTAGCAGCTGAAAAAAATGACATGAACTGTGGTTAATTTTAATATTTTTAAATTAAAAGACAAATAGTTATATTGAAAACATTACATGAACTAAAGTAGACTTAAGCATAACACAAGTACTACTAGCAGCGTTTATGCTAATCCCTAGGTAGACAATTCTTTTGCATAGAATCAGAGCAGTTTTTATGTTTTCAGTAAGTTTATAACATATGGAAAACGAGTAAGTTTATAGTAAGAACCTTACGACCCTTTACGAGTAAGTTTATAACATATGGAAAATATTATATTTTATAATATAATAGATGGAAAAAAGTTTTTCTTTGAATAATCTTTAGAAATTATTTGGTCACCTTTCGATGAGATTTTAGAGGTTTCAAAGTGTAGATTAATTTCCTCTAATCACTAATTAATAAGGACTCCAATGTGTGAAAAGAGCAAGGATGACGATTCTAAAACTTAACATAAATTTATTGAAGCGTAACAAGTAACAAGTTTTGTGCGACTGCTTGCTGACGGGATACTCACTGGAATGAATATAGAAATCCTTAATCCCGGCCTCTCAGGGTAGGCTGAAGAGGCACAATTTGGGGGTTTGATCTAAAATTAGATTTTCTAGAAGGGAATTGCTACAAGATGATCTGGGTTCCAATCCCAGAATATGATGGGATTGGAACCCGGGTAGTCAATACAAATTCCACATCTAACACGTGCTTAACACAGTGCTGATTCAGATAGAGTGAAGTATTTTGTAAAGGCCATATCACACTTAAGGAAATTCGTCCAACTCAACCTCAACTTCAACTCGGAAGACAACTCCGTCCGAAAACATAGGTGTGCTATACTTATCCGAATTGGATCAACTGCTGTTCAACTCTTTCAGATCTCTTCGAAAGAGTTGATTCAACTTCACAATTCAACCAATCAGGTGGCAGCAACCGCATGGGATTATGGGATAGCACAAGTCAAAACAATATGGCGGCAAAGTTTATGTGAAAAAGCAGCGAATCTAATTTGTTATATATTAATTCAGGTGAGTTTTTAATTGAGTATTGATTTTAAAGTTATTTTATAAGAAGTATAAATCTGTTTCTATCCATTAAAGAAGTTTATGTTATAAATGTGTTATGTTTTTAACCGTGAATTAAAAGTATGATTTTTTACGCCAAATTCGCCAATCTGAAGTAAATTTTGCAAGTCTGTATATTTATTAGTATTCGCCGAATTCAAATATAGTTTTTTTTTTTACAATTACTTTGCTCTTTCTATAGTTCCGATAAGATTATACCAGCAATTATTCTAGAGTTGGTACTGAATTCAGTGATTTTGAATATTTTTTTACAAAGGAAAAAATTGCCTTATGAAAAGTAAACTTACTCATACCTAAACAATATGCTGACAGAATTAATTTCTCTGTATTATTTTATTTTTAAACTGTATATTTGTCAGTATTCGCGGAATAAAAATTTGTTTTTTTCCAATTACTTTGCACTTTCTATTGACAAGTGGGCCCACCTTGAAAAAACCCACTTGGGACGCTAAGTGGGTTTTATTAAAAAAAAAGTTTTTATTAAAACTTATTGATTCACATTTAATCTTATGTAATTTATTGTGTAGCATAAGTTTGTCAAATAGATCTGCATGCTTTATATGATTAAGTTTTTAATATTTATAAAGTTGAAGAAACTTGTATCTGTAATTTTGTATTACTATTAAAAACTTAAAGAGGGTTTTTTCAAAAAGTAATATTTAATGAAATTAGATTAGATGGAAATTTAAATAACATAGACTGTAAGGATCAATTTTTCAAATGCAGTTGCATTCTTTATATTATTAATAAGCAGGTTTTGAATAAATTATGAAGGAAGTTGAAAATATTTTTTTACCCGTTAAAGCACCTAACAGGTTTTTTCAATGTAATTTTTTTAATAAAAAAGTATTAACACACGTTTAACTTTAAATATACTAATATGTAGGTACTTTTTATATCTGCTTTTTTCATAATTTAATAGATTAATTTATTTTTTGAAATTAAAGATAAAGTTAAAATTATTTATCTAAAAAAGAAGTCTTCTTCTTAAGGTTAAATATTTGAAAAAATGGGACAAGTAACTGATACTCCTTGTAATTATACATAATTTTAATTTCACTTTCTATTAATCTTATTATAAAAACATGGAAAACCATTAAAAATTTATTTCAGTTTTTACTGATAATAAAAAACTTACTCATACCATAACAATATGCTGACAGAATTAATTGGTTGGTAATTTTTAATGACTGTTCCTTATTGTCTGTTGCCTTAAATACATTTGCTTCACCTTTCTTAATAAATTTTTTTACTTGTATTGCAGCAAAGATGAGTCAAAATTTTGAACAAGCTCCCGTTGGAGAAACTTTTAAATGGAGCATCGAAATGGAGAGCACATTTATTGAACTCTTGAAGAAAAAAGAGAACATTTGGAATGTAACATCCCGCCACCACAGGAAATATCATTTAAGAGCTCATAAAAAATTAATCGAAACTGCTTTTGGAATAAATTGTTCACTTTTATCAGTTCTTGTTTTTCCTAATTTTTGAATAGTTTGTGTTTATTCATGTTGAACCTTTAACAAAATAGTGCCGTTTAATAGCTTTCTTTTTTTTAAAATTCAGTTTCACATAAACTTTTAATTTTCTACAAATAGCACAATTTTTTTCAAATTAGAGTATTTCACTAAACATATATAATAATACTTATCGAACTCTTAAAAAACTATTTTAATAATTTTTCAAGAACTTAAAGTCAACATTAAAAAAATTAATTGCATTAATTTGGTGCAAAAAATTATCAAACTCCTAAATTTTGTTATAACTGCTTATTTTTACTCTTATATTAGATTTTGTTTTCTCCGTTGTAAAATATACATAGTAAATGTAAGTTGCAAAAAGCTATATTATGTTATTAAATATATGAAAAACTTAAAGGTAATTTATTTGAATAATTTAAAATAAGTACTATATGACTAAAGGTAAAGAATAATCTAAAAATATATTTATTAACTAAAGATAAAAATCCATTGCTACTTATGTGTTTAATTTATGATAATAAGTGAAATTAATACAGCATGCAACGAATATATTTATAACAAAATGGTGATTTTTTTTTCCTAATTTACTTTTCCAATATTAAAACTAATTATATATTTTTAACTTCTATGTCAAAGATTGCACAAATGAAAACAAACAGTTCTCTCAATAAATTTTCCTAACAGCCTAATCTCTGTCTTCGTAAGCGTCATGCTTTACTCCAAAGTGTCCTTCTCTTATCTTTTTTTTTTTTTACCAAACTGTAAATGATCAAACTTGAAATTGCTGAGGAAGGATCCATTGCCGTCGATTAAATTAAATTTAATTACCACACGCGCTGAGTCTTTCGATGAAAATTTTTATCCGTCTATGTATAAAGCGCTAAATCGCCTAAAAAGAAAGAAATCACTCGTTTATCAATGATCAACTCTTTTCAACCGCATGGCAACCATAGTTCAACTGTTTCAGGTAGTAGTTGAACAGAAAGTTGAAGTTGAGGTTGAGTTGAAGGTTGAGTTGGACGAATTTCCTTAAGTGTGATATGGCCTTAAAGGTACCGCTAAGTGGTAATAAATTTGGCTTGGACACAGATCCCTGTTCCTTAACTATTAAAACAAAGTTTCAATTAACACACCATAATTTTAATTAAAAAGTGAAAATTTTTTCTCTTGATTTTTAATATGACAAAATAAATGCAACAGATTGTGTTTATAAATGTAGTCATTCATCAATAAATAAATAAATATTTAATCATTTTTATATTAAAATATTCATTTTTAATCTTATATCAAAATAGATAAGTAAAAAAAAAAATTTAAAAAAATCTATGTACTCATTGGAATTTTTTTTCACAAAATTTCTTTATAGAAAATCTGATAATGTCAAAGATACTATAAACATATTATGAGAAAAAAAAGAAACCAGTAACCAGTTAATAACTCTACTGCTTCAAATAGACTTTGAAAGGGAAGAATGACACTACAGGTATATCAGGAAAAAAACATCTGAATTCATCAGCCCCCCCTTTTTTTTCCTTCTAATATAACCTCAAGGTTTAGAAATATACATTTTCTACTAATAAAATATAATGTAGATTTTAATTCTATGCTTTTTCAATAAAAAGGTAGAATTTTAATTAGCATTACTTGTAATTTTTTTTTTTTTTTTTTTGAAAAAATTCATGTTTATCAATTACTTTCTACAGCTATGCAAGTATATATTAAGACAGCATTAAATGTGTACTTTAATTTGTACACATTTAATGCTATCCAATCAATCTCAAGAATAAAAAAGATTTTTAAAAATGTAATTTCAAATGTGTTGAAATTTAGCACACACCAAGAAAGAAAGTAATTTCAATAACTAAAATTAATTAATGCAGCAATTTATTTAAAATGAATTTTAAAACTAAGAAAAGAAAACAATAAAAGTATCAATAATTTAAAGCACTTTCAAAATCAATGATTTTTTTAAAAAAAATAAATCATTTGATTTAAATCATGTATTAAATCATGATTTAAATCAACAAACCCTGATAGCTAGTAGTTGAGAAAAGACGCCATGAAAAACATTACAAAACTTTAAAAGTGGTTATCTTTTGAACTTTGAAACATACAATGCTGTAAAACGTAAAAGTATTAGAGTTTAGAATACAAACTAAGCAAAATGAAACAGGAAGGACCAGGGTAATTAATTTAAAGAATAATTGATCCATTTTAGTGCAAGATAATGACTCATGAAAAAGTAAAGTCTTATTACAAATTTTAAAATTCTAAGTCTATAAAATTACCCAAGATGGCGTTTGTAACTACTGAGAGACTTTCAAAACACTGTTTCCTTTTTCATTTTAATTTACAATACATCATCGCCAATTCCAAGATGGTGCTGAAGTAAAAGAGCATAGATAGCCTTTACAGATGGCTTCAAAATAACATATCTGAAAGGAAAAAAAGATATATATATATATATACATAGATATAATGTTTTAATAACCATTACAAAATGTACCTCATATTTTATCATCAATTAAGACCATACAAGTAAAACGAGCATGGGATTGCTGAAGGAAGGAATTATCTAAATTTTTCATTTTGATAATATATTATTTCTTATTTCAGTCACTTCTTTCTCTAAAAGAGTTCTTGCATTAGTTCTTTACTTTGTATATAAGAAGCTTCCAAAGCAATGGCCTTTGCATAAATATATTAAACACTGCAATATCAGTTTGTATGTTAACGAATCCAATTATCAAGAATTCCATGTATAAATTGTGTGCGGAGAAATACCCACACCATCATAATACTTATCACAGTCATATTGGACTTAAGAATCACATAAGTTAAAATATGTTGCAAAGTTGGGACATATTCAGCTATGGAGTGCTTTTCATTTTGATATGTACATGGTATCTGCGACATTTTAAATTTTCAAATTCCTGACTCATCAATAATTCCAAGAAGTTGTCATGACTTACCGAAATTACTATTTCATCCAACAAAAACACTACAATAAATTCACAAAAGCATTATATTAACATTAATTGAAATGATAGGTATAACCAAAGCTGTTATACTCTGAATCCTTGAGGCAGAATTTTTTCAAGCTATCTGCGACAAAACTCTCTAGCACTAATATCTTTCTACAAGATACTTTTCACAATAATAAACATGTATGTTACTAATTTAAAATAACAAAAGCGCTGTGTTTAAAAAAAAAAACTATTTATAACTTATTTTAAATTGAACGTGTAATTTTTATTATAACATTACATGTAACATTTTCACATTTTGTTGGGAGGCATGGAGACACAGAAATTATTTCCTTCACCTTTTGTAACTAATCATCACAATAAAAAAATTGCAAATTATTAAATCCGCAGTAGTACTTGGCGAAGAAAAAAAAAGACGACAAATTCACACGAATTGGTCACCTCAAATGAGTGTTTCGTATCTTGATTAGGCTGTTGTATAAAAATATCGTATAAAAAATATCAGATTTAAAAACTATGGAAAAATTAATATCAATAACTGATAAAATTCGACAGAATTATTGACCTAAAAAGTAAATACCCAAATACAAGATTCAAATTTTTCAGGTTGCTTATCAGGATATTTAAAATCCACTTGAAAATCAGCATCAATAACTGACGAAAATACAACAGAAAAAATACATCAATTTACGCTACTATCGGCGTATATTGAGCACGTCAAAAAGTTATTATTCAAATGCATGATTCAAATATAACTGGTAAATTTCAGTCAAAAAATAAATAAAGGTAATTTTTTTTTTTACTTTTCAAAAGAAAAATCGTAACGAACGAAAAAAAAACTCTGTAACGTTCAGCGAAAATGTTGCTGTGTCTCTGAAAATCTGCTACGGGGCTCTGAATCTTCTTATTTATTGATATTAGACCTAAAAATTGAGTAAAGAAAGAGTTGAAGCATTTAAATAGCTGAAAAAAATACAAAAGCAAATAACTTTTATATAGTTACTTAAAGCTGCTTTTTTTCTTCCTAAAAGTAAGTGTAACATAATAAGCTTAAACAAGAATTTTAAATTGATTAAAATAAAAAAAAAATTAAACAAATAAAATAATTAATAAGATTCTGAAATCACTGAAGTTTAAAAGATAATTCGGTTTAGAAAGGATGTTTTTTCCTTAATTATTTTAAAGAACACAATCAAAACATTTTATATTTTAATAAAATAGGACTAAGATTGGATATATTGTTACAAATTCAGATATTCAGAACGCTGTGAAATTAGGGGGATTCCATCCTTAAAATTAAGATTTTTCAGTTACCAAAATCCGCAGTTTTTAAAAAAATAATAGTTAAGATCATGACGAATTTTGTTCAATAATGAAATCCATGACTTTCTAGGTGTGCAGATACCCTATAAGTACCCTAATAAATACATATATGTACCTAAAGAATAGTATCAGAAGAGATACCCTATTCTTTGGCACGAGCATATGGGTGAAACATTGAACAAGTTTGTCATCTTTCAAGTCTTTCAGACATTTTTTTAGTCCAAGAAGAGCAGACAAATTGTTATAGTGCACAGAACCAATAAAAGTAAACAAACAATAAAAGTAAACAAGATCTTTGGGAATATCAGAATTGAATAACGTGATATAATTTATTAATTAACAAACTTCAATTTATGTAAGTTAAAACCCCTTCTGAAATTATGAATTACTTGATTAATAAGCTACTCGGTGCGGTAAGTAAGATGTAGACAAATAAAATTTTCATGATTCAATTCTTTTTTCTTTTCTTTTTGTAATTTAAACAATATTATATATTAATTAGATACATTAAGCATAATATTAAATAATAATTAAATATATATATATATATATATATATTTTATTANAAAAAAAAAAACATTTCAATCTACCATGACAAATTAATAATTAAAAAATATGCAAATATGATCCATTTGTTAGCTCACTTAGCTCTTAAATTTTTAATTAGTTCAAGTATTAAAAAATATTTTTCATCAAACGTACAATTTGGCAGGTGTGAAAAATATAAACATAAGCATGTCAGAAGGCTTAACATCTCCAAACATACTATAAAATTACGCCACTGTTTGTGAATATGAGAATTGAATAATGTGATATAATTAAGTAGTTAAGCAGCCTGGACATGAAAGAGGTGGAAATCAATGAAATTCTTGCAATATATAATTATATATATTATAAACAGCACATACCTGCCAAGATCAGAGAATTCGCTCACTTCAACGAGGTGCATTAATTCTCCTTTCTGCTGGTTTGAGTTCTCGGGCTCGCTAAATCGAAATAATTTTCTTTCTACTTACATTATGCGCTAAGATATAAATCTTATGAGACGAATTTAGGTTTAATATAAGAAGACAAAAGATAAATAGTCATTATGCTTAACAATTTGGTCTGAACAAATAGGTTTCGTTATTTCAGGATATTCGTTTAACAATTTTTCATAAAATTTTTCACAAAGAACAGTTTTAATTGAAATAATGTCAGAAGTTTTAAAAATACAATGAGAATTTAAATTAGTACTAATATCATTTAAGCAACGTTTTCTAATATTAGGTTTTAGATTAAAATAGTATAAAAAATCTGCACCTATAATATGATTAGTTATATCACAAATATAAAATGGAAAATTAAACTTTCGTCTAAGACCGAAGTCTAAAGTTAACAATTTCTTACCGTATACTTTTATGATGGTATTGTTCGCAGCTTTAAAGGTCTGTATCGGAGAAAGAGTTTTTTCTTTTTTTCCGGTATCCACTAGAAATTGTTTGTTGGATTGTCTATCTCTAACAAAAAGGCGACAATTTGTTGGAGGCAAGATGTTAGTCGCACTTACTCTTGCCTTTCTTGGTTTTTCTGGTAGATGCAGGGTTTGACCCACTTTCTAGCATCCGATTTAAATTTCCGATGATAGAAGCACATTTTGGAGTTTCGATGTGGAGATGAGGATTGGCTTTGACGATTACGAAACTGCGCATAGTACCGGTTGCGAGACCTACTGCGTGTCCGCAAAGCTGCTACTTCTTTTCGTAGTGCTTTAACTTCTTCTAAAAGCTCAAAGGTGCATTGTTGGTTTGAAGAAACTTCGCTAACTTCACTTGAAGTTGACACTTCCATTACTTTATCAGCGATTTCAGCAGCTCTTGTTGAATTTAGTGAAGGGATTGCGGCCAATGTCGACTGAACATGCTGCGGCAACTGATTTAGAAATAGTTCCAAAAGTAGAGAATCTGAGATTTTGTGGGATTCAGCTCTTCTCTGCATAGTGAGCAAGAGTTCACTAGGCTTTCTATGTCCTAGTTGCTCTCCGGAGAGTAAACGTCGAATTTCTTGGAACTTTGTTTCGCCGCAGCGTGAAATAATTTCTTCTTTCAGCTTTTTGAAAGGATCGTCTGCGTCAGGAGTTATAATGACGTCCCTTACAACTGCGGCTACTTCAGGAGGAAGATGGGCGAGGCAGTAGTTAAACTTTGTTTTGCTCTCTGAAATCAGCTTCGGTGTCTCAAGCTGGAAAGTTGCTTCGACCATATGGAACCACAGGTCTGGATCAGAAATATTGAAGATGGGAATTTTTACTGCAGTTGATTCCGCCATAGTTGTAGTTTCCTATTAATCCAAGAACCAAAAACAGGAAAGATCAAAAATAAAAGTTACTTGTATCGTCAGACATCCGGGTCACCATTGAAATAAGCGAAGATAGCTCCTTCGAGATACTAATATTTTATTAAACATATTTACATTTATATACAAGTTGGTTTGAATTACAAGAATCATCATCACAGCAGGGTGATGAGAGAAATACTGACAGGCTGCCATGTGCGTGCTGGTATTTATACAATTCTAAGAATATGACGTCAGAGCTCTTATTTCAGTTCACTTCAAAAATAAGTAAAAACACAATTGATTAAAGACAAACAGATAACAATATGAAATAAACTTGATTTTACGATGAGCGGCGAACCCATCACCACATATATATGTAAAAAGATGCAGTCGGACCGAGCAAGGAAAACAGACACAGGTTTTTGGTAAAATCAAAGTAACTTTATTTATGTCATACTTTGTTGAGTGGGAGCGAAAAAGTGAAGTTTACTCCATCAGCGATCATTCTTTCTATTAGGAAAAAGAAGGGAAATCTTAGAGAAAAGATTATGTAGAGAAAAGAGGGAAATCTTAGAGATTGATTGGTTAAAGAACTAGCTCGAGTGATTCCCACGAAGCTTAAAAGGGAAGAATGTCTTTATTTAAATTTATGTTCAATTATGTAAAAAAGTATGTTATGTTTTTTCGTCTCATTCTTGTATGCAATTAAATGTTTGTGCAAATTTAATTCTGATAAAATACAATACTTACTAATTTTTTTTTGGTTTTGACATTTAAATGTTATCTAAACTTTAAATAAATGAAACTACATAGTACTTTAACTAATTATTGAATCGTTGAAAATTTCGGATTACCCAATGTAAAATTATTTTTACATTACAAAAAATAATTGCAAATTTCTTTAATTGAAATTCATAAAGGCTTGTTTTGTGTCCACTCCCTGAAAATATTTCCACAGGTGCCTTTAAGTTTTGTTTCAAGTGTTTTGTAAGTAAAATTTCAGATTCTAAAAGGATAAAGTTACGTATGTATTTCTCTGTTTAATTTCAGTGATAGAAGTGAAATAATTTATGCAAGTAAGTAATTTGAATATTTATTAAATTTCTTTATTGTCTCAGTTATTACAAAAAATAACAATTTAAAAAATCGAGACATAATTTTATTTTAATATTTTTGGAAATGAATGACAGTTATATGGTAGAAAAGAAAAGTTAAGGTAAATTTTCAACTCAATTCAAATGTAAATTTAGCTTAGCAATTATGTAGTGTTGTTTTCTTAATTTACAATTTCAGAATATAAGTAATGAATGATAATTGTGAAATTACAAATGGCTTAAGTTACACATTTTAAAATATATATATATATATAGATTTTGATAAAATAAGCTCATTTAAAAAAAAAATTAAGAGTACATTTTACAGTTAAAAACTTGAAAATTATTAATGATATAAAATTTGTCAGAAAACCCATTGTATGATTAAAAGAAAAAAATATCAATAAAAGTTGTGATATAGTATTTCTTAAATAAATTTGAAATATTCAAAAAAATCAGCAGAACATAAGATATACTTTGGAGTAAGAGGGAGGAAAATGGATGGTAGCAGAGATCGCTAAAATAATTTTATTTAGTATTTCTGCATTGCTATGTAAATAATGCATGGAATGTTATTATAAAACTATTGTTCTATGTTTTACTGCTTCACAGCAATATAGAAAATTAAGTAAAATTATATCGCCGAATTATTCTACTACCATCCATATCTTCCTCTTGCTTACTCCAAAAAAATAAAAAGCAAAGCAAAATAATATCAGAAAATACAAAATCTAATATTATATAGCATCAAAACTAATGCAAAATAATATTATGGCGAACGCGAGATAATATTAGTTTGCATAGAATCTAATATTATATAATGCAGAGCAAACAGCGACCTCTTGTATCTTTCTAATATTAGAAGTTGTGCAAGATAACGTTAGATTTTGCCTATTTTCTGATGTTATCTAATATTAGGTGCTATTTGGGGAGTAGCAAAAGCTACAATTTTAACATGGATGAAAATGCTAAAAGCAATACAGAAAATTTTGTAAATGAATTAAATGATAATTTATAAAAATTAAGTATGGATCAAAATGTGCAGGATAAACCAGACATACTAATCTTTGAGCCGGACATTGGTGTTCAATTCACAGCCTGGCTCAAACATTTCAAAAACCAACTATCGATGCTAAATTAAATGACGAATGGAAAGTTAAAAATTTTCAAAAATTCATTAAAAGTTCAGCTTTGAAATTGTGTATTCAAGTATGCATAAATTTAAATAAAGACATTTTTCTCTGTAAGCTTCGTGGGAATCAATCAACCTAGTTCAAAAACCAATAGTAATCCCTCGGATTTCCCTTTTCCCTTCAAATATAACAAAATAGAGGGAAATTCCTTTGCTACTTTCCCTAGGATAAAAACTTAAGCACACAGTTTTGGAGTGCGATTTTGAGCTCCGTCTTTGATAGAAAATGTCTTGAATATATCATAATAAATAAATGAACCCTCTACATTTCAATCGGTTCTCAAAGCCACTCATCATTACAAGAACCAGAACCTGCTATGATTTGATCAGCATCCAAACCCGTTATCAATTGCAAACCATTCTAACCAACACTTCTTCTATAATACTCGATCCCACTAAAATTTTATACTCAGACACAAATATGTCACGTTCAAGAATCGAATCTATTATTTTATTAGTTCTTGAAACGACTATTTTTTATCGGTAATGAACTCGTTATTATAACATCATTACTCGAACCAAACACCTTATAATCGGTACTCAAACCCTCTATCATTAAATCATTTATCGAACCTACTATTTTTCATTATTAGAAGAACCTGCTATGATTCGATCAGCATCCAAACCCGTTATCATTCGATCGAAAGATTTTCTAACAAACTCTTCTTCTATAATACTCGACCTCACTAAAATTTTATCACTACTCGGACATATAGTGTCAAAAATCGAACTCATCAATTTAACTGGTTCTAAAAACGACTATATTTTACTAGTACATGAACTCGTTATTATGATTTCATTACTCGAACCATTATTCATAACCTTTCAACCGTTGATCAAAACCCCTATTCTTTGATCAATAAAATACTCCTAATTTTTCATGCATCCTTGAAACTCCCCATCTTTCATTAATACTTGAAATCTCTATAATTTGATTAGCACTCGAACTTACTATTATTTGAACGTTACTCAAATCAACTTTGTTTCGGCATGGAATGACATTATAAAATTATTGTTTATGTATTACTGCTTCACAGCAATACAGAAAAGTATATAAAATTACATCACCGAATTATTCTGCTACCATCCAAATCTTCCTCTTACTCACTCTAAAAAGTAAAAAGCAACGAAAGATAATATCAGAAAACATAAAATCTAATATTTTATAGCATCAAACTAATGCAAAATAATATTACGGCGAGTATTAGATAATAGTAGTTTGTATAGAATCTAATATTATGCAGAGCAAAAAGCGACCTTTTGTACCGTTCTAATATTGGAAGTAGTGCAAGATAACGTTAGAGTTTTCTGACGTTATTTAATATTAGGTGATACTTGGTGTAGTGCTACTTTATCGTTACTTGAAACCCCGCTAACTTTTTATCAGTCATCATATAAAGTCTTGTTTGGGTGGTGCTCAAATCCTCTGTCGTTTGATCAAGTATGAAACCCTCTACCTTAAAGAGAACTCCCTTTCATTTGTCATATGCTTCCATTTCACACAAAAAGTTTTGTATTTTTGCTACATGTATAGAGCAGCATTCGGTGTGAATGCTTCTTTATTCTCAATCGAAATGGGCTACAGGTGGCGTATAGCAAAACTCTCTACCTATGGCAAAACTACACATGCTTTCGCCATTAGCGCGTGGAGAGGAAGTAAGTTAGTTTTTGTCTTGATTTTCAAACAGATAAATAACTTTTATGTTAGGAAATTATATGTAACAGAAACTACATTGAACATGTTCTGAGAATCTTAAAAGATATTCGAAACAGTTAAAAATGAAAATTATTAAAATAGAAGAAAATATCGTACTACATTCCTGTACAGCTGAAAAGAGAAGGAGAGGTAAAGAGGCTTATCTCCCCAGACGGCTTATTCGAGTGCTGCAATCGCGAATTCCAAACATTCACCCCGCGTCAAGGGCAATCAGAGATGCAGTGTGAGTGGTACTTAAAAGAGTAGCAAAAGGACAGCGAGCAGCAAAATGACAACTCAACTCTTATTATTTTCAAACATGATGGCTTCATCAGAAAATCAGATTCATGGAAACATTGACAATTCAGTGAGTAAACAATCTGAAACAGAAGCCACCATTGAAATTTCAGATTCAATGGACACAAGTGAAAATGTTTCTGATTTTAAATTGCCTCAAGCCTTAGAAAAAGTGCTTGCTCTCAAAACTGTAAGAGCACAAGAATTAGGAATCGATCCTGACACTGTGCTATCTCCAAATGCAGAGAGAACTCAAGTTTCTAAAGCACCTGTGGTAAATTTGGTATCAGTGGACGATGAGGATTATGTGGAGGAGGAGGAGGTTGCTTCTCAAAAGCAGAAAGATTCTAAGATCAAACGACGCAAGAAAAAGAAAAAGAAGAGACAAATTAAAAGTCAAAATCCAATGTTAAAATTTCAAGATAAGCATTCGCAGAGAGACTCTGTTGTTGATGTCGATATAGAGTATGTTATAGAGGTAATCGATACTTCTGATCCATTATATCACCAGTTTATGAAAATATTTGAGAAGTTCAAACTAACTGAAGGCGAAAAAGAAAACGAAGTTGGTGCAGACGCTGGGAAAAATACATTAAACGAAGAAATGTTTATTCCTATGGCTATAAGAAGGAAACCAGTGGAGTTAGGTGATGATAATGAGAAAGATGACAAACTTGAAGAAAAAAAGCCAAAGCTTTCTAAAAGAAAACTTAAAAAGTTAAGCCGGATGTCTGTCGCTGAGCTTAAGCAAAAAGTGAATCGCCCAGAATTGGTTGAAATTCATGACGTCACAGCTAAAGACCCTGTTCTTTTACTACATTTAAAAGCGTCTCGTAATACTGTGCCAGTTCCTCGTCATTGGTGCTTCAAATGTAAATATTTACAGGGAAAGCGTGGTATCGAAAAACCTGCGTTTGAATTACCAGACTTTATTAAGCGAACCGGCATAATGGAGACCAGGCAAGCCCTGCAGGAAAAATATCAAAAAACCATGAAGGCTAAAGTGAGGGAAAGAGTACGACCGAAATTAGGCAAAATCGACATGGATTATCAAAAGCTTCACGATGCCTTTTTTAAATGGCAGACAAAGCGGAAAATGACTATTCACGGGGACTTGTACTACGAGGGAAAAGAATTTGAGACTAGATTGAGAGAGAAAAAACCTGGCGATTTAAGTGAAGATCTGCGGACTGCTTTAGGAATGCCCACCGGACCACATTTGAACAAATGCCCCCCACCGTGGTTAATTGCTATGCAGCGTTATGGACCCCCTCCTTCTTACCCTTACTTGAAAATTCCCGGACTTACCGCACCTATCCCTGACGGTTGCTCCTTTGGTTACCACGCAGGCGGTTGGGGTAAGCCGCCTATTGACGGGACTGGCCGGCTTCTCTACGGCGATGTGTTTGGTACACAGATATTAGACAACCAATCTCACATTGAAAAGGAAGAAATTGATCACACTCTGTGGGGCGAACTCAAAACAGAGTCTTCAGAAGAAGACGAAGAGGAGGAAGAAAATGAGTACGAGGAAGATGAGACTAGATTAGTCACTCCAGCTGAAGGGCTTATCACCCCTAATGGATTTAGCTCGATTCCAGCTGGAATGGAAACACCCGATATGATTGAATTTCGTAAGAGGAAAGTTGAAGTGGAATCGGAGGGCGGTGAAGCGCCTACTCTTTATACTATATTACCAGAGAAGAAAACTGAGCGTGTTGGTGCGGCTATGATGGGGTCCACCCATACTTATGAGGTAGCCGCAGAGATTCCGGGTTGTAAGCTGAAAGCATCTGGTACTGAGTCTTTTCCACCCCAAGGTATTGAAGTAGCTTTAGATCCAAGTGAATTGGAAATGGACACCATTGCTATGGCTGCAAGGTATGAACAGACGATGAGAGAACAACAGACGCAGTTGGAAGAAGAAGATTTGAGCGACATGGTGGCTGAACACGCTGCACTTCAGAAAAGCAAGCGTAAGAAGCAACAACTTGATAGTGCAAAACCTCCCAAAAAATGCAAAGAATTCAAATTTTGAGTTTCATGTGGTTTGGAAGATAACATAACCCTTTGTACATAAGTTCTTCATATTTCTTTAGGAAACAAATCATTGGGTAATTTAAAGGGCAAAGAATAGTTAAGCACTGTTGCCGCTCCACAGGGAATTTAAAAATCAACCAAAATTGTTGGGAATTTTGAGTTTTTCTTTAGAAACTGCGAAAATGCAGGAAATTTTGTTTTTTATTTTCATCTTTTAAAAAATTGTGATCACTCAAAGCGTGATCTACCCAGTGTATCTATGCACTTGAAAAGTTATGAATTTCGGTATTGAACAAAATTTGTCATGAAGTATCATGGTTGTAACTATTTTTTTTTAAAAAAATCAGAGAGTCATTGATTTAGGTTGCCGAAAAATCTAATTTTAAAATGGAATTCCCCCCCCCCCCAATTTCACAGTGTTCTGAATATCTAAGTTTATAACTAAATCCCCACTAACAGTCATATTTTATTAAAATATAAAAAGTTTTTATCATATTCTTTGAAAATTATGATGTTCTTTCAAAAAATGAAAGAAAAAGCATCTCTCGAGCGAATTATCTTTTAAACTTCTGTGATCTCAGAATTTTTTTATTTTATCAATTTAATATTCTAGTTAAGGCTTTTTATATTACACTTACTGTAATGAGGAAATAAAACAGTTTTAAATAACTACATATATTTGATAGCATTTAGTTATTTGCTTTTGTATTTTTTTTCCAGCCATTTTATTGCTTTAACTCTTTCTTTATTCTGTTTTTTAAGTTTAAAATTAATAAATAGGAAGATGTAGAGTATAACAGTTTTGGTTATAACTATCATTTCAATTAATGTTATAATGCTTTTTTAAATTTATTGTGTTTTTGTGGAGTAAATAGTAACTTTGTTAGGTCGTGAAAAATTCTTGGAATTAATCATGAATGTGAAAATATAGCAGATACCCTGTATAGAATAGAGATAATAGTTCAACTTCCTGTGAAGTTTGCAGGTAGAGCATCGTCATTTCATTTTGAAAACTCTGTGGGGGGGAAAAAGGTTGCTATAATAGGGCATAAGTGACCGGTTAGACTTATTATAGCGCACCATCTGATCCTATCTCAACCCGGCATGGGTAGAAAAAGTGTTGTTACAAACAGAGTGGGAAGTGAATTCTTCTATTATGTCACAATAGCAATCCATGAGAGGGTGCCGTTGGAAGTCGAAATGCTTCATTAACCCTAGATTTATCGTTTGGGGGGGGGGAATTAAAATAAATTTTTAAAGAGGCAAGGAGAAGAATCTTATAACTTGCTTTTCTAAAAGTATTTTGTGAAACTAATGTTTTTCCTCAAGTTGAATTTGTGAAGGTACTGCTAAATGGTAGTAAATTTACCCTGGACAGATCCTGGAAATGTTCAGTTTATTTATATTCAGAAATCTCTTTAAATTAATTATAACTATCTTTGATGAATTAGATACCTATTAAGATTCGAAATTATGTGTAAACATTATACATAGCATTTCAAGTATGTTTAATGTTAATCATAAGAGGCAAATATTGCAGTTTTTCTATTTTAATGACTATAAGAATACCTAAAATTCCCTATGCGTATAATACTTAGTACATTATGCAACAATTATCATGAAATTTATATTATTTTGTAAAATCTGCTGGATTTTTACTTGCATACCAAGTTTAATCCCAAAATAAATTTCCCAAGTCAATCCTTATAAAGTGTTGAATTGAATTAAGGTAATTGTGTATGTATACATACACACACATGTAAGTGTTTAGCAATATTGTTTGTCATTTTTATTCCAGTAAATGTGCCATTACTGTTTACACTCATAGTTTGATTATTTTGGTACTTTTATGCAGTCAATTATTTCTTTTTCTGAGCACATTTGTTTTCCTGTAATCAGTGTTATCTTAATAAATAATTCAATTTTCATTTAAGGAATTAATTTATAGTTTAGTCTCTCTTAATGTTTTATTACAGATCAATAAACATTTTGAAAAACAAATCCATATTTACAACTCGTTATAAAATCAATATAAATTATAAAAATGGTTTTTAATATGAATATTTTATGCATAAAATAAGGAACTATTAGTTTAAAAAATTGAAACTTTTAGTTTAAATTCTTTTCTGTGTTTAGATATAAATTCTTAATACAGGCAAATATATATGTACCTTTTTAAACTGTGATTAAAATTGTATTCAAATCATGAGAAATTGTGCAAGTCCTCTAATTTTGCTGTGTAAATTTTATGGTCTCTAGTTTTGTCTGGAGATTGTCTGTTCTAGCTCTAAAGCATGATTTAACACAAATTGGTTGAGTATTCCCTTTCTCTTCCTCTACAACACGTCAAAAATATCTAAAATAATTTTTTTTGTTATATTTTAGCACTATCTGGATAGCAAAGTGTAGTTGTGTTGCCATCATGCTATATAGATTTAGAAATATCAATCACTGGATCCGTAGATGTAGAATCGTATATTAGTGACTGCATCCCTCGGTGGACTGACCGCAAAACCTGGTAGATTGACAAAGTCAAGCAATACTGGAAGTGGCCTGTGAGTGACCACTTTGATCAAACTGAGGGTGTGTGGTATTGGTACTCGTTAAACTGTGACAGTGGAAAATAATTTCTTTAAATCATCCTCCAGAATGTTTTCCAGTCTGTCGCCAATAAGATGCATTTACTCAGAATGCGATTGCCATCCGGGAAATATATTTCCATGCGAAAAACTAACCGGCGTGAATGCTCCTACAGCTCATTGGGCATATCTTGATCTACTTAAAAGAACATTCACACCAGGTGCGAAAGAAATTGTGTATGCGAGTTCAGAGATGTGAATGAAAAACTGATTGGCAAGTTTAGTATATTTCACCAACGACGTTCTAGGTCGCATTTTTTGCAACCGGTGTGAATGGTAACTAAATAAAGTACTACAATGCCATTCTCGCTGAATGAGGTTCGCGCACCTCTAATCGTCATTGAGGAAATGATATATGAGAATCTAATTTTTTAAATATATTTTCCTCTGCAAAACTTGCCAATCGGGTTCTATTTTTCTCTCGACGAGGTTCAATAAAAATTTTGATTAAGGGAGAAGTTCCCTTTTTCCGAAACATGATAGAGCTTTCCATTAAATTTTTAATAAAGTCTCCATAGATATTTGGGATCAAATATTTAAATTGATTTGTTTTGTTCAAAATTGGGATCTACAATACAAAATATCCCCTTTTGCTTTTTATGCAAATACATTTGAAGCATGCCAAGTACTTGCCCCTTATCACAATCCATTAGTTTTAACAATTTTTGCTGAAGTGGGACATTTGATTTAATTTTAAACTACTAATTCTTCATTAATGGCATTTGCTGATGCTCCTATAATTTTCACTTGGAAGATATCATTAGTCCATATGTGTCAAGTTTTATATTTTTTTCTTTACTTAGTTGTTTTCAAACACCAGTTTCCACCTTCTTTTCATTGCATCTGTGTTTTTTTATAGGGTATGCTCCCATAATTGTTTCTACCAATGCTCCACACCGGGAAACTTCATACATCTTGGAAGTTGTTATGCTTGCGTACCGCAGCCTATTCCATTGGATGTTTTCTGCTTGCCCCATTGTTTTCTTGTAAGTATGTTCACATTTTCCATTGTCAATGTGCAGTGCAAAATGGAAGAAAATCCTCTGCTGTTTGTCCTAAATGCTATTGGAAAAATTCATTTAAAAGAAATTTTAAAGACAGTTTTCCTGTCGCATTTATACTCTTCCAGTGTTTTGTCAGTCCTGTATCACATCTGTTTATCAGGCTTTCTTCTTTCACATGGTTAAAAATTCACAATTTGAATCTACATCTATAGCTACAGAAGGTACAGTGAACTCTCACTACAACGATACCCGATACAACAGTAACTCCCACTATTGCAATAATGTTTCGTGGTCCCGACGAACTTGCATATGAATTAATGTTATCCACCTTTCAATATTGCGATATTCTCTGAAACAATACACCCCTGTAAAATTATTTTTTTCTTCAAATTTCAACCTTATTTTCTCCATTTATTATTGGTTTTCAAATTATGTAAAAATCTTATTTTATCATATTTTACCTTCCCCCCCCATCTTTTCTGACTAGAGAAATCTCTCTGCTAATTATGTACTTATCTTATTTCTTTTCACCACAGTGAATGACTTTTGTATTCAGATTTCAATACCCCATCCTTGATGTACATAGACCACCCCTAAACCTTCAATTGCCGCCCTTATCTCTGAAGAAGTGACAGATGTAACATTCCTATCTGATTTCATATTTAGCCATAACTACCGCTCAGCAAATTAAATTTTTATATAATATATAAATAGATTTATAGTTAATACATATATATATAACATTAAAATTTTAAAAAAAAAAAAATTTGTGTCCTCAAAGTATGTAGGCCTTTGATGTAATATATCCCTCTGCAACACTATATTTATTTGATACCAAAAATATTGTTGTTTTACTATATTTTAGTCAGGTCTTTTAATTTAAGTTATGATGTTCACGTTGGATCCTCACTTCTAAAATGCACCCAAGTTAACAATATGTTTACAGACACCTTAAAAAAGGGGTATAAATTTTGTGATTAATTTGTCAAATCAATACAAAAATTGACTGGCAAGCGAATATAGTAATGATTTTGTTTCATGTGTGAATGCACTTCATTTGCAAGAAGCTATGAATTTTTAGCCCATTTTTGCTACGTTAAAACCTTCTAATAGTTTATTTTGTATGAATTGCACCATACTATTTAGTAGAACTAGAATATATATGAGTCGCTCAGAAGCCAATGCAGTTAAGTCCAAAACGCAAAAATTGAAAAAATCAATGTTTTTTGATACATTAGTTTTTAAACTTTTCGGTTTATTAATTTAATTAAAAAAGTATATAAAGTCTTTTTTTCGAGGTGTAAACTCTGCAAAAAAATAAGATATGTACAGGATGTGTAAATAAAAACGTAAGTGTTTATTGAAATAATGACAGCATCTTAAAAATTTTAGGACCTATACCTTTTGGCAACTGAATAAGATAAGAAATTTATGTAAAAATAATAAAATAACATTTATTGTCATAAGTTTTATGTTTATTCATTATAACAAACATCATCTTCCGAGTTATTTAAATGTAAATCTCAGGGATGAGATTTTTCCGCTTTTTAGCGGATTTCTGCTTTTTTCACTTTTATCTCTTGAATTTCAGTTTTTTTTTTTTATCAAAAATTCAGATTTTTCTTAAAATTTCACTGATTTTCATAAGTATTCCGCTTTTTCAGAAAATTCACTGTTTTTTTAAAAAAAAAAAAAACAGAAAATTCAAACTACATAGCTACCAATTCTTTCTCATTTTTACTTATTAGAGCTATTTTCTCCCCTTTTACTCGCAGCAGATAAGATTCTCTGAATTTTTTACTGGCCCTCCAGATAGATCCGATTTTTGTAGTTCAAACAATGCTGCTTCTGACAAGCCTTTTAGGGGTTCCAAGCCTGGAATCTGCTAATATCTCGATTCTTATTCGCACGAATTTAATATCAAACATAGCTTTTCATATTTGCATGCTGCCATTCTTATTCACACGATTTGAATATTGTATGTTGCGATTCTTAATTACGAGATTTAAAAATCCGATATTGTGACTCGTATTTACGCCTTTTTAAAAACCTATGTAGCGATTCGTATTCACTCAAGTTTAAAATTAATGTCTTGATTTGCTCATGCGGTTTATAATATCAAACATTGATTTTCGTATTTATACGTAATTTTGAAATACGGCAATGGGATTCACATTCACGCATTCTAAAAATTATGCATCATAATTCTTATTTATGCAATCTAAAAATTACGCATCATGATTGGTATTTACGCGATCTAAAAATTATGAATCGTGATTTGTATTTACGCGTTTTAAAAATTCTATATCCCAGTTTGTATCTCCTCATTTTCAAAATCGTGTATCTAGTTTCATATTCATGTGATTTCAAAATCCATAATTGTTATTCATATTCATGCAATTTTAAGATCAACTATCGCGATTCTTGTAAGAAGTAAATTTTTTTTTAAAATTAGTTACTATAAAGGTGACTGTTTTTCTAATGACTATTATTAGTATATGTAAGTGTTACAACATCAGAGAAACTGGAAGGGAATATATTCAAAACTTACATTCTGTGCTTGCAAAGAAGAAAAAATAGGATTTGTCACAAGATGTTTGAAGATGGACTAACGACTAAATATAGCAAACAAAAGCAGTCACTTAAAAAGGGATTCAATTTAATTTTTTTTTTTTTTTTTTGGAAAAAACCTTAGAGGAGATATTAGGGTAGAGAGAGCCAGTCTATTGTTTGCACTCGGAAAACTTGTTCAAAGATGGGGGCTACCTTTTTAGCGAAACTTTCATAGGTGGCGGGGGCATCGTACAGGAATATTTTTAAGAGTACCTAGGGATTTTTCTCTCTTTTTTTTATTTCATTTTGAATGCTTTCCCAATTTTATTCGTGATTGTAAGAAATAAGTTTTCTAATAAATAAAAAAACATTATAATATGTGCGCTGCATTTAATTATTTGCTTTTAATTGCTTAATCATAAAAAGCTAATAATATATTAGTTAAGCATGATTTAACCAAACAATGAAATAAAAATAATGATTTTTTGGATCGAATATGCATTTGAAAGTATGTAAAATATAAAGAAACAAGTGCAAATGATTATATGTATTAATTATTTTTGTCAAAAGGTCATAAGAGATAAGAATCTTTGTCTATCCAATGAATCTGCAGTAAAATGCTTAGAGCATAACACACTATTATTGCATGCCGTGAGTTCTTCTCTGTGGACATTTACTTCGCATACTTTTCGTTTTATCTCATCTTTAGGAAATCTACGTCAGTTAGCTATTAATAAAGGGTGGT